GCTGACACTTTGATCTAAGTCTAGTGGGACATGGAGCACAAGTCTATAGTCAGCCACACCTGGGCCAGGAACACAGAGACTGTGAAAGAGTCCAGCTGTGTTCTGTTGGCTGTGTTTGGAGTAGCCTGTTAGGCAGTGACAGAAAATGAAAACCTCCTTTGGCAACAGTGGCAGAGGCCCTGGGATATCTTTCCAGGAGGGGCTTGGAACCAAGCTGATGGCATTCCCAGATGTGACTGGTTTTCTAAGCCGGTGGACACCTACTTAGCTTTGGCTCACTCTGTGGCCCAGGGGCCAGCGGGGGAGTTAGCTAGGGCAGGAACTTAGCACCAAGACTCCCTGGCCAGAGGTCAGCCTAGAACTGGGGGTCCTGGCATCCTGCCACTGGTTTTCAGAGGATACTGTAGAAGACCTTTGCCAAGCTCCATTGCAGTCCACACCTGGATGGGTGAGTGCAGAGCACAGAGCTGGGCATGGACGTCCATGGTCTTACACAGGCGCTCCATAGGGCCCTAAACTCTGTTCTGGTCCTCCATCCATTTTGCCTAGTTTCTGCCTGTATCCCTTCCCCAAACACACATAGACATTCTAGAAGGCCTCACCTAGGGCCAGAGCCAGACTTAGCCCCTTGAGACTCCCTGTCCACGCGGACCCCCACCCCTCCCCACCCCCCCCCCACCCCCGCTCTGCATCCAGGCTCTCTTTCCTAAAAGGAACAGTTAATGGCTCAGCTTTAATTACCTAACAATCCCCTTCAGCTCCAATCACTTGAAATAATGATGGAGTGCTGGGGGAGGGGACCTGGAGACCCTTTGAGCCAAGGAAGATTCCTTTGGGGTCCCTTTGCTTTTTTTGCAGCAATGGTCAGTGGCCATGGTGATAGGCAGGAAGGGGTACCTAGGCTGTGAGGTCCAATGTCACACAGTCCCTAATCCCCTACCTGATTTCTGTCTGCAGCAAGAGCTGAGCTGTCGGTCTGCCTTTCCATCAAAACCGTGAGCCCCAGAGGCCTAGCTGTCAGAGCCGCAGGCTTGCAAGCCTGACTTCCAAATGCCCTGTCCTTTCAACCTCGGATTGATACTGCCTTGCCTGCTCTGTTGGCCCGGCCCCACCCTGACCCCGTGCCCGGTACCCAAACCTCACTAGACAGGATGGATGGTGCAGTGGGAAAAATCTGCTTCCAGCAGACTGAGGAAGAGAGGCTGCCACTGGGGACAGAGCAAGCCACGAGAGAACGTCAGGGAGGGACAAATCTGGTACAGGATGTCCCCAGAGCAACAGATGAAAGATGGCTGGGCCACCTCGGACCAGGAGATCCAGAAAAGGCTTTTGGAGGCAGGATGTCTGGACAGGAGGCCAAGGTCCCAGACAAAGGTCTGAGACTCCGTCAGAGAAAAGCTAGCCCTAGCACCTGTCCTCTCCATACTCAGCACCTACAGCTTAGGTCCTGGACCTTACAGCTGGACCCCAGCCAGCTGCAAGATGCCCTTGCCTGAGTTTCTGGGCACAGTTGCGGAGCTGTTCAAAAAGTAGAGTGGACTTGAGGAAGGACACTCAGTTGCCATGAGGAAGAATGTGGGGCCACACCAAGGAGACCTCAGAAGCCAGGGGCTCCCATGGGGTGTGGATATACAGGCCCGAGTAGACGGGAAGAAATAAGGAGAGTCTTCAGGATGGTCCTCCCCATATATGTACAGTTAAATCTTTTGAACCAAGAAGACACTTAGATATTTATTAAGATAAAACGTTGTTCTAGAGGCTGGGGAGAGGGCTCAGTTGGTGAAGTGTGTGCTGTGCATGCGTGAGGAGCTGGGTTCAATTCCTAGACGCTGGGTGTGGTGGCCAACGTGGTGCCGGGGAGGTGGGTACAGTGGATCCCTGGAGCCCCACAGAGAGCAGCAAGTCTGTGCTGGGCTCTGGGCAGGACTGTCGGGACTCAGTGGGGCACACCCCAAGCCCACGGAGAGAGCACACGTCCAGACTTGAGGACTGACAATGCCACTTGGGAATGCTCCAGGAAGCCAGAAAGATGGCTGTCAATTGGCCAAGAGGTGGCGAGGAAGGATGTTCCAGTCAGGAAGGTCCTGAGGTGTAAGGGAGTCAGCCGTGTTCTGGGAAATGAAACTTAGCCGGAGTTACATGGGGAAGAGGAGGAGAAGGTGCGGACGACTCAGAGTGGGAAGGACAGAGAAGGACGTGGACGTGGCCAGGCTGGGGAGCAAGAGCTGAGCTGGTAAGGTGCTCGTCATGCACACATGAGGACCGTCGTTGGACTCTCAGAACCCCAGTTAAAAACAAAAGCAAGCCGGGCGGTGGTGGCGCACGCCTTTAATCCCAGCACTCGGGAGGCAGAGCCAGGCAGATCTCTGTGAGTTCGAGGCCAGCCTGGACTACAGAGTGAATTCCAGGAAAAGGCGCAAAGCTACACAGAGAAACCCTGTCTCGAAAAACCAAAAAAAGAAAAAAAAAAAAACAAAAGCAAACCAAAAAAGCTGATGTGGTGCCCATGCTTATAAAACTCATACCAGGAAGGTGGGGACAGGAAGCTCCCTCAGGGCCGGATGGCCAGCCAGCCTAGTCTACTTGATGAGCTCAAGGCCAACGAGAGACCTTGTCTCAAAATACAAAGTAGGTAGTACCTGAGGAAGGACACCTGCAGGAATATATTAAAGTGACTAAACTTAGTCCTGAGGGGTGACTCGGGGTTCTGGGGACTGCAGGCCAGTGGGAAGCCAAGGCAGCTGCCTAGACCAAAGGATACACAGTGAAGAGTCAGGGCTTCACACAGGAGCCCAACTGGGGACCTAAACTAGATTGGGTGCGGGAGATCCCAGGCTTCTTTGGTCTCTGTCTGTCACCCTAGCCACCAGGAAGTGACATTTCATTTCTCAAATTAAAAAGTCATTTCCTAGCCGGGCGTGGTGGTGTACCCTTTAATCCCAACACTTGAAAGGCGGAGTCAGGTGGCTCTCTGAGTTTGAGGTCTACAAAGTGAGTTCCAAGCCAGCCAGGGCTACACAAAGGAAAAAATGTGCCCCCACCCACCCCAGCCACTTCATAGCCAGGCTTGATAGCGTGCTCTGACTGTGATCCCAGCTACTTAGGAGGTTGAGCAGGAGGATCACTTGAGCCCAGGAGTTCCAGGCCAGCTGGGGCAACATAGTGAGACCCTGTTGCAACAATTAACTAACTAAATAATAAATGAAGGACAATTTTAAAATACAGTTTGAGCTGCGAATTACTGGATGGTCTGAATCCTGGGAAGCCAGATGACCAGGCAGTGAAGACCAGGACTTTGAGAGGTGGCAGACCAGCCAGGAGGCTGGCATAGGACTCTGAAAGCCAATAGATGGGGCTCAAGCTGCTCCCAGACCTCACTATGGGCTGAGGCAGAATTGATGGGCACCCTTAACTCAATCAGTGACAGAACAGCATAAGTGGAGGCATGGGTCTGGGTTGTGGGTGGGGTGTATGCACCTGTGGCACCCCCATCGCCCGCTGTGGATATTCATTTTCCCACGGAGAGCCATAGTTAGCAATGTGCAGCCATCTCTAAGAGCCGACCTTTCTACCCGCCTCCCTGCCACACCAGCCACTAGGGAGAGTCATTTCATTTCTCAAATTAAAAATCCATTTTGTGCCGTGAATAATGGATGGATGAGGCCAGGGAGGCTGGGTGGAGGGCAGGAAGCTGGTTGTGGCCTAGGAGACACCACAGAACTGCTGGGAAACCAGGGCACTGACTGGATGGGGTAGAGGCTCGGGTGTATCCCAGGGCTGACACAGTGCAGGGGCCAGGATTCAATCCCACAAGGTATAGAGCTGTGCCTGACCGTAGCTAGGTCTCTGATTGGCTGGTCTGGCTTCAGGCTATAGCCCTCTTTTAGGGCAAGACACACAGCACTTTGGTGAATGCTCAGTAGCTGTGAGTCCTTAGTGTGACTACTGCTGTCCTAAAGAGTGCCAGAGGTGGGGCTACTGGTGTTCCTTCCTAGAACCCAGACTCAGTGACGCCCCATCAGCAGAGTCGTTGGGATATGCCCTTGGCTCGTGTGGAGGCAAAGAACTGTATCCAAATCCTTCCTTCTATTCCGTCCCGCACTCCGTTGTGCCTTCTCTGACTGACACCTGCCTCCTCTCCCGGAGCTGGGCTTCTAGAGACTCCCTAGGGGCTCTGCTGGACTCAGCTAGGCTGGGCCGAGTCCTGTCACTCTCCTGCTAATCAGTTCTGGGATTGCCTAGTAATTGAAGGAGGATCTCTGAGAACCCCGGAGACTGAGGAAGCAAGGAGCTGGAGTTCCGATCCCTGGGCCTCACTCATCTTCCTCTTCTGAAGACAGGCAGGAGAGAGAAGTGGGGAGGTCTTTGGACCTTTTCTATGGACAGCCTGACCACAGAACATGTCATGGTGATGAGGACCCAATTCTAAGCTAACTCCTGCTGCCCCTGGTCCTACACTCAGGGCTCAGTATGAAAAACAAGATGTTGAACAGAACAGATAGACTGGGAGGCCCAACAGCCTGGCTGGGAGACAGATGAATGGATCAATGGCAGCTGAGTGTGGGAATGGGAACCAGATGAACAGAGTGCATGGGCTGGCCCCGAGGAAGGAAGGACCGAGGACCAGGGTCTCCATCCTCCTGTGGCCGCAGTGGGAAGTCCCTGGGGAAGCACGTTTGCCTCTGTGCCTTCCTGTCGGAGTAGTCGGCTCCTTGAGACAATATCCATTTTTATATTTCTTGGAAATTTCACGGCATTCATTTCGGGGAAAATAAAAGCTGTCATTGCTGGAGAAATGATACCAATCAGGGCCTGAAAAGGCTGGAAAATTATCCTCCTGGAGATGGAATGTTGAGGGAAAATGCAGATTAAAAGCACAAAGAACCACTCTGCTACCGCCCTGCCCTCCCCTCCCCCTCACGGAAACACGGCATTCTGCGTAATTCCATCTCCCCTCAGTAGAATTAACTGGACCTGAGAATAATGCTTGGGCGCAGAGGAGGACCTTAGGATGGCCAGATCCAGAGACATCTCTGAGAGCGGGGCTTAAGAGATAAAGAGATGGACAGACTGGACAGGCAGGACAGGGGAAGAGGTGCTACTGAAGGCTAGTGACTGGGTAGCTGACTGGAGAACAGCCCCAGAGGAGGGAGACAGGATGGTGGACTCATTTCTTCATTCCCACCTTACCATGAATTCCATCACATGGGTATTTACCAATGTCTGAAACATTACTTAGGCCAGAGTTGCAGGCAGGAGCCACAGCCCTGGGGTTGCTGAAGCTGCGTGGTCCTTTGCCAGGGACACGGGAAGAGATGGGTGAGGCAAGGCAGAGAGAGCAGATTCCCGAAACAGTTTCAGTTCTGGAAGCTCCTGGTTCTCTGTCACATGTAGGCCTCACCCTTTGGATACAGTGGAGAAGCAAAGATGGTCTGTCTCCTGGAAGGAGGGAGGTCCAACATTTAAAAAACAAGCGCAACTAGAAGCCGTGGAAGGCTGGTTAAATTCAGCCCGTGTACTCCCATGAGGTGTAGTTCTGAGCGAAGTGGGGTAAGAGCCCTCCCTCTCCTGGCCCACAGCATCCTTTCCTTGGTCCTTCTCCCTATGTGGGCCAGGGACTTTCTGGCACTGATGGCAGGGAAAAACTAAGGTTGAGGAGGCCCCAGCTCCAGCCTCTTCATGCAGCCTCCCCAGTAGAGCTAGGTGAAGGGCATTGCACCAACCAGAACCCAGACGGGGCAGGCACGAGCTCCAGTTAAAAGGACAAAGAAGTGCCAATGCCGAAGGCGCCTGGCAGAGTGCAGGGCAAGATACAAGCTCTTCTCCTTATTCTCCCACAGCCCATTGGAGTCTTCCCTGGGCTGGGCTGCTGTGGGCTCGGCCCAGACGGCCCTGTCGCCTCCAGATCTGCCTCCAGACCTCCAGCTTCAGCCCCTTTACCGCAGACTGTAGGTGGCTCCAAGCAGAGGCACCTCATCAGAAGGGACTGCGCTTCCTCCTCCCGGGACAGATCTGGACTCCGAGTCCTGGAGCCTGAAGCTGGTGCACCACCCTCAGGAGTGTGTCTCCGCGGTCGCCATCCCCACCTCCCCGCTGCGGGAGCTGACAGGTAGCCCAGAGGGAAGCAGGGAGAAGGAGGGGTGCAGGGGGCGGGAGGAGGAGGGTGGAGCTGCCTGCGCGCCCCCTCCTTCGGGGCCGGCGGGCGGCGCGGCGCGGCGGCAGAGGAGGCGGCGGGCGCACGGAGCGGCAGCCAGCCCAGCTCCTCTCCGGCTGAGGCCGGGATTGCTCCCGACTCTTCGGTCCTCGCCCGGCTCAGACGCGCACCTGCCCGGTAAGTGTCATTTGGGTCCACTGCCGCCGAGGCCAACCATCGCAGCCACCCCTGGGGCCAACGCGGCCGCTGAGCCGAGCTTCTTGGCTTTGTCTGTGTCCTCCCGGCTCTGGCTCCAGCTGCGGCTGCGGCTGCGACTCTAGGACTCGGTTCTTAAGCTCCGCTGACTGCACCGCGCGACGCAGGAGACTCCGAGCTCAGGGCCGGCGTAGCAAAGGGGTGAAACTTCGCCCAACTTTGGGTTCTGGGGAGAACCTGTTGACGCCAGGAATGGCCCGGGGCTGCGATGGGTGGCAAATGATGAAACCAATCTCTGGTCAGGGCCGTCGGGGATGTTTGTGTTGGAGAAGGGGGCTGGAGGAGGCTGCTGTTTGGGGAAGGGGCTGGTGGGCTTTGGGGCTACCGAAGAGAAACAGCCAGAAGCTGGCTTGAGAGTGGTCCGGCAGACTTCCCCGAGGACAAAGTTTGGGTGTCTCTGATAGCTTTTTAGTGCAGAGAGCTGAAGGAGGCTTCAGGGTCCGCATAGAGGCGCCCCTGACCACACCTCCTTTCTCTGGCTTCTGCTTCCCCCTCCCCCACCTGGCCTTGGCTGGAGCAGACGAGGGGCAAGAAAGGCAAAGGCAAAGGAAACAGGTTGCCGGTGAAGCCCCACTTTGTGCCCGGTGCTCTTTTGCTTTATACCAGGGCATCCCAGCTGCGGCGAGCATGTGGAGACGGGGGAAGGCAGGTTAAAAGGCTACTACTATTCCCGTAAGAGCTGGTGGCTACCGAGCCCTCCTCTTTCCTTCTTCCTTGGGTGGCGAATCGAAGCCAGGCACAGGCTTTGGTTATGGATCACAGGTGGTCTCCATCTTCTTAAACTAACCTCCATCTCTTGTTCCTGGTCACTCCCCTCGCTTTCTAGGGCCTCTCTGAGCCTACTAATGTTCCCTTCCTACAGCTGCGACCAAGGGCCATGTGGGCGCCGACCAGAAAGCCCTTAGACAGAAGCAGCCTATAACCAACCGACCAAACAAGGCGTGTGCAACCACAGCCTCGGCACCATGGAGGCCCCATATTCCATGACTGCACACTATGATGAGTTCCAGGAAGTCAAGTATGTAAGCCGGTGTGGCACCGGGGGCGCCCGAGGGACCTCGCTGCCTCCAGGCTTCCCGAGGGGCGCAGGGCGCAGCGCTAGCGGGACCCGGACCGGGCTGCCACGTTGGAATCGACGCGAGGTGTGCCTGCTCTCGGGTCTGGTGTTTGCCGCCGGCCTCTGCGCCATCCTGGCGGCCATGCTGGCGCTCAAGTACCTGGGCCCGGGAGCGACAGGCGGTGGCGGAGCCTGTCCCGAGGGCTGCCCCGAGCGCAAGGCCTTCGCGCGCGCCGCCCGCTTCCTGTCTGCCAACCTGGACGCCAGCATCGACCCGTGCCAGGACTTCTACTCGTTCGCGTGCGGGGGCTGGTTGCGGCGCCACGCCATCCCCGACGACAAGCTCACCTACGGCACGATCGCGGCCATCGGCGAGCAGAACGAGGAGCGTCTGCGGCGCCTGCTGGCGAGACCCGCGGGAGGCCCCGGCGGCGCTGCGCAGCGCAAGGTGCGCGCCTTCTTCCGCTCGTGCCTCGACATGCGCGAGATCGAGAGGCTCGGGCCTCGGCCCATGCTCGAGGTCATCGAAGACTGCGGCGGCTGGGACCTGGGCGGCGCGGCCGATCGCCCGGGGGCGGCTCGCTGGGACCTCAACCGACTGCTGTACAAGGCGCAAGGCGTGTACAGCGCGGCCGCGCTCTTCTCGCTCACAGTCAGCCTGGACGACAGGAACTCCTCGCGCTACGTCATCCGCGTGAGTGTGTTCCCCCCCCCACCCCCACCCCCACCGGCAAACCCGGCGCCCCTCCTGAGACCTGGGACCCTCGGCGCCGCGTGCCCCACGCTCGATCCCGCGCCCGAGATGCGGGTTCGGACCGCGAGGGGCGCGGGGAGGAGTGGAGCGCGGGCGGGCAGAGCGCGGGAGGAGGGCGCAAGTAATTTCCCTGGAGTAATTGCGGTGTTTAGCTGAGCCGCGGGAGCCGCAATTCCCAGCCCTCAGGCAGGCGGGGTTCGGGGAGTAGGGGACCGCGGGCTGCCGCCCTGAAAGTCTGGGGTTGGCCAGGAATTCCAGAGGCACCAACTCCTAGTACAGCGCCCCATGGTGTCCCTACAGGTGGGGAAAGTGAAGGCCGTTGGGAAGGACTGAAGGGTGGGCTCTCCAAGGCGTCTTCAGGCTGGACTAACAGCAATGGGGTTCGGCTAGTTTCTCTGGATGGATGGATGGATGGATGGAGGGGTTAGTTTTCATGCTCCGGGAGCTTGTGGCAATGTGTCTATGTTTGGTTCATCTTCTCTTTTGTGACAGTTGGGTGGGGACGCTGGCAAAGCGGCCATTCACTTCTGACCTGGAGTCCCTGTTTCTCTCCTCAGATTGACCAGGACGGGCTCACCCTGCCTGAGAGAACCCTGTACCTAGCTCAAGATGAGGAGAGTGAGAAGGTGCCTGGGCATGGCATGGGGTGGGGCTTCTGGAAAGGAAGGGGCTCCAGGAAGGGAGTTTCAGGGGTAGGTGTCTCCCTAACTGAGGGGCTCCTGTCTTGGTGCAGATCCTGGCTGCATACAGGGTGTTCATGGAGCGTCTTCTCAGGCTACTGGGGGCGGATGCTGTGGAACAGAAGGCTCAAGAGATCCTTCAACTGGAACAGAGGCTGGCCAATGTGAGCAGGAGGGGCTAGGACTCCGGGGACTGGGACATGGGCAGGGAGCATAGATCAGGCCCGGGTCTATCTGGTCTCCACTCCAGATCTCTGTATCAGAATATGACGATCTCCGTCGGGATGTCAGCTCCATGTACAACAAAGTGACCCTGGGGCAGCTGCAGAAGATCACCCCCCACGTGAGTGCTCCCAGACCTGGTGGATGGGTGCTGCGGGGGGGGGGGGGGGGGGGAGGACCGGGACGGCAGGTCACCTTCTTTAGGTATGTCTGAGGTCTTCCATGCCCCCCATGCCTTGTTTCCCCACAGTTGCGGTGGAAGTGGCTGCTGGACCAAATCTTCCAGGAGGACTTCTCTGAGGACGAGGAGGTGGTGCTGCTGGCCACAGACTACATGCAGCAGGTGTCTCAGCTCATCCGCTCCACACCCCGCAGGTGAGGCTCACACCCCCACCCCTGCACTCTTGGCTCCTTCCTTGCCTCAGGGCCTCTCCTTCAGCAACCTAGTCCACTTGGTGACCTTGGTAAACCCTGTCTCCTCTGAAGCCACACTTCAGGAGGCAGGTGGGAGCCCTGGGATGGGAATCCACATCCTGGGGCCACATGCTGGTGCCCACTCCTCCCCTGTGGGAGCCTGGATAGATTGGGATTCCCTTGAGCTGCCCTCAACCTCCTGGGATGGTGAGACAGAGAGTTTGGACGTCACTAAGGGATATGTCGCTAAAGTCATACTGCACGTGGGTAGATCCTTGGGGGGAATCCTGTTAGTCCCTGTACATCCAGGGAAGGAAGAGAAGGCTATCTAGGCAGCCATCTCTGAGTGCCTGTGTCCCATACAGAAGCTGGAAACTATGCTGGTCTGTCAGGGTCAGGCTGAAGGGCTCTTGTTATTAGTAAGATCATATTCTGCTGTGTGGCTGGGGCTTGGGACATTTCAAAATTGATTTCTGCATATCTGAATTGACCTCTTTCCCCTTCTTAGTGGGCACGGTGGGTACTGGGTCCTATCCTAGCATGGGAGCACAGGTAGGTAGGACGTAACCTACCTGCATGTCTGTCTGGACAACCCCCTGCTTTACCTGGCCTCCAGGATCCTACACAACTACCTAGTGTGGCGTGTGGTGGTGGTTCTGAGTGAGCACCTGTCCCCACCATTCCGTGAGGCACTGCACGAACTGGCCAGAGAGATGGAGGGCAGTGACAAACCCCAGGAGTTGGCCCGAGTCTGCCTGGGCCAGGCCAACCGCCACTTTGGCATGGCTCTTGGTGCCCTCTTTGTACATGAGCACTTCTCAGCTGCCAGTAAAGCCAAGGTCAGGCTGCCCTGGGTCTAGGGTGGGGGTGCAGGTGGTGAGCTCGGTGTGGACAATGGAAGACCCCATACCTCCCCTTGTGGCTCAGGGCGTAGGTTGGGCATTGGGCTTAGCTGTCCCTGAGGATCTAGGATGCTCCTCCCGGGCCTCTCCTCCCCTACGAAGCTTGCATGCAGTCAGCGGCAGGTGGCCTGCTCTGCCTTTCCCCTGCTGTCCATCTTCGCCGTGCTCAGGAGACATGGCCTTAGGACTGCATAGACCTGTGCTGGGATGGTTCCTTCTTCCAGGCTGGGAGCTTGCTCTTATGCCTCTGAGTGTAGGCCCTGCTTGCTGTGTCTCTCCCTGGTGCTCAGCATGGTGCCCTGGACTGAGAAGCGGGTAGTAGAAGATAGGAATCCCTTTGGTGCCAGGTGCTGGGGTCAGATCTAAAACTTCCGAGGTTGACCCTTGATCCCCAGTGTCTGACCCTCAGGTACAGCAGCTGGTGGAAGATATCAAGTACATCTTGGGCCAGCGCCTGGAGGAGCTGGACTGGATGGACGCCCAGACCAAGGCAGCAGCTCGGGCCAAGGTGAGATAGGGTCTGAATCCCAGGGTTGGCTCCGCAAATATTGTTCAAGTGCCTACTGGGTATCAGGCCCTGGGAATAAGAAGAAAGAGGCAAGATACCTTTATGGAATTGACTGGTCTGTTCTGTCCTACCTGGATCGCAGACCCAGGCTGGTCCAAAGCTCTATGTTTTGTTTTGTTTTGCCTGTGAGAGGCTGTTTCCTGAGGCCCTGGGTCCCTTACCTTGTCTTTCACCTTCAGCTCCAGTACATGATGGTCATGGTTGGCTACCCAGACTTCCTGCTGAAACCTGAGGCTGTAGACAAAGAATATGAGGTAGGCAGGATTTCATTGCGGCCAGGCCCCAGGGAAGCCTGTCACCAGACTTGGAGGAGGAACCATGGTTCCCTGGCTCTGGGCTGAGGACTGCCCATCTCCATGCAGTTTGAGGTTCATGAGAAGACCTACTTCAAGAACATCCTGAACAGCATCCGATTCAGTATCCAGTTGTCTGTCAAGAAGATTCGACAGGAGGTGGACAAATCCACGTGGGTGCCTGGCCCTGAGCTCGGGGTCAAGGAGGGCCGTGAGGGAAGCAAGGGCATGCTGGCATGCTGGGTACATGGGTCTGTGTAGAGCACAAGTGAGGAGAATAAGGTGATGGCCTAGCCCAGGGGAGGCCAGAAGATGCACTGTTAGAAGCTAGCTGTGATAGCAGGACCACATTGAAGGAAGCTAGGTGTGAGGCTCCTCGGGGAAGGAGTGTGTACCCTCCAGGTGACTCTGGCCTCCTCACATAGGTGGCTGCTCCCGCCACAGGCTCTCAATGCCTACTATCTACCCAACAAGAACCAAATGGGTAAGGAGGTGTGTCCGGGCCTGCCCGGGGTGGGCTGGAAGAGGACGTGTTCCCCACTAACCAGACCTTCCTTTTAGTTTTCCCAGCTGGCATCCTGCAGCCCACCCTGTATGACCCTGACTTCCCACAGTAAGTAAAAGAGTGCAGCTGGTCCCCCCAGCCCTGTCTGCAGGGGGCTGGGGTCGGGGAGTTACACACCCTGGGTTCCCATAGTCCCGTTTCATTTCATCTGTGGTAGTTAGAAGAAACTGTAGGTGATAACGTCCTGATTATACCCTTGCTCTAGATCACTTGCTGCAATAAAATAACCTGACCAGAGGCAACTTTGGGAGGAAAGGGTTATTTGGCTTGTACTTCTAGGTCACAGTCCATTATTGAAGGAAGTCAGGCAAGAACCCGTGGGGGAATGCTGCTTGCTCACCCTCTGGCCCGCTCTCTGGCTCAGTTTCAGCTTACTTTCCTATACATCCCAGGCCCACCTGCCTAGGGATGGTGCTGGCCACAGTGGACTGGGCCCTCCCCCATCGGTCATCAGGCAAGACAGTCTCCCAAAGACATGGCCACGGGCCAATCTGAGCTGGGCAATCCCCCACTGAGACCAGCTCAGATGACTCTAGGCTGTGCCAAGCTTACGGCTAAAGCCAACTAGCATATCCCTTACCCATCTTAGGTCCAGAAAGTGGAGGAGCGTAGAGATGAGGAAGGAGGCCTGGTCCTCAAGTAAATTCCTCAGTTCCTTTCCTGCTTCTTTTAACTCACAGCCTCCATCAACTTTGTAAGATGTTATTTCCCAAAACACAGCTGGACATGTGTCGCTGGTTCCTTTCACGGAGCCTGTGAGGAGGCTGAGGGACACATGCCCAGGGCCTTGGAGATGCCTAGGCCTCTGAGGCCTCGCTGGCCACCTGCCAGGAGCAATAGGGGCCTGGGCAGCAATGTGGGGCTCTCAGAGGGCAGGAGAAGGCTAGGGCCTAACCTGCTGCTGTGGCCCAGGTCTCTGAACTACGGGGGCATCGGCACCATCATTGGACATGAACTGACCCATGGCTACGATGACTGGGGTGAGAGAGGCTTGGGGGAGGGGAGGACAGGTACTGGGGGAGTCATAGGGGATGAGCCAGTGTTGGCTGGTGGGAGAGGAGGGGCTTAGTGCTCAGCCTGGCCTTAGAGTGAGGCTCACTCTTGGCATACTGGCATACCCCTCTACTGCCCACAGGGGGCCAGTATGACCGCTCAGGAAACCTACTGCATTGGTGGACAGAGGCTTCCTACAGTCACTTTCTGCGCAAGGCCGAGTGCATTGTTCGCCTCTATGACAACTTCACGGTCTACAACCAGCGGGTGAGACCTTCCCGCCTCGTCTTTAGTGCCCTTTTAGCTGGCCACAGACTGGAAGCATGGGTGCATGCCCATGCACACATACATGTACCTGCACACACGCTCCGGATTCCCATGTGCACGAACAGCCACATTGTTCACGAAGAAGACTCACACAGGGGTGAGGGGAGGAGGAGGCTTCTCCTGAATTCCCTGGGGAAGCGGGAGGGGCCGTAGCTCAGGGCAGCCAGAGCTGTGTGAGGCCAGCAGGGCCCATGCAGCTCCTTTCTCTTCCTTTTCGGCGGCGGCGGCAGGTGAATGGGAAGCACACACTCGGTGAGAACATCGCCGACATGGGAGGCCTCAAGCTGGCCTACTATGTGAGTCACCCAGCCTGCTCCCTGTCTCTGCTGGGGGACAGGCGGAAACTGATGAGAGCCCCAGACATGGTCCCTCTCTTCTCTTCCTGCTGATGCTGTGGCCTAGGCTGGGGTCCTCTGGGGGGCGGGGAACACGCACCACCTTCACTGGGAGAACAGAGAGGACTACCTGGAGGGGGTGGCACTATCCTGGGATCAATGTACCAAAGCAGGAAGGTGAACAGGCAGGGAAGACAATGGAATGGAGGGGGGGGGGGGACGTCGTTATAGAACTGGGGCTGGTGGGGGAGGATGGCTGGGTGGAGGACGGAGAAGGGGCAGTGTGCGGCACAGGTGCTCACAGCAGCTCCCTTCTCTCGGCGCCCCCAGGCCTATCAGAAGTGGGTCCGGGAGCATGGCCCAGAGCACCCGCTGCATCGGCTCAAGTACACACACAACCAGCTTTTCTTCATTGCCTTTGCCCAGGTGGGCTGGATGGAGACCTGATGGCAGGGGCTGGGCGGGGGGCTGGGCGGGGCTGGGCGGGGCTAGGCAGGAGCTGGGCAGGGGCTGGGCAGGGCTGGATGGAGACCTGATGGCAGGGGCTGGGCGGGGGGCTGGGCAGGGGCTGGGCGGGAGCTGGGCGGGGGCTGGGCAGGGGCTGGGGGGGGGGGGGGCTGGGCAGGGGCTGGGCGGGAGCTGGGCAGGGGCTGGGCAGGGGCTGGACGGGGGTGGGGTGGTGGGGAGGGGGGGGGGCTGGATGGAGACCTGACAGGGTCTGGGCGGGGGCTGGGCAGGGAGCTGGGCGGGGCTGGGCGGGGGCTGGGCAGGGGCTGTGGGGGGGGGCTGGGCAGGGGCTGGGCAGGGGACACAGTGTCCAGGCTGAGTCTCAGCCTTGCCCAGGCCTCAAATGACCGTTCTTAGGGTCCAACCCTCTCCCATCACCTGTCCTCTCAGGGGTGATGGCCCATGGCTTCTGCTGGGGCCTAAGTGTGGGGAAGGGAGGAGGGAATAAGCAGTAGATGCCGCCAGGCTCCATTTTTCCCTCTCCTCCCCTGCCTGCCGGGGGCCTCCAGAACTGGTGCATCAAGCGACGGTCGCAGTCCATCTACCTGCAGGTGCTGACAGACAAACACGCGCCCGAGCACTACCGGTACGCCCATCTGCCTTCCCAGCCGGTCTCCTCCTTGTGTCTGCATGGGGGGCAGAGGGACAAGAAGGGACATGGGTCAACCCAGAAAAAGTGAGGGGTGGCTAGTGAAGCCCCCACTGCTGGGGTCTCTCCTCCATCCCAGGGTCCTGGGCAGCGTGTCCCAGTTTGAGGAGTTCGGCCGGGCCTTCCACTGTCCCAAGGACTCTCCCATGAATCCTGTCCACAAATGCTCTGTGTGGTGAGCCTGGCTGTCTGCCTGTCTACCTGCACGCCCCCACTGCCCTGCACGGATCACCTCCACCAGCTGCTGGGGCAGCATGAGCCCCATGCTGCTCCAGGTCTACATGCCTTCCAACCTTTAAGAGACTGTCTTCCCATCCCCTACAGTCCTTTGCTTCAGCAAGGGCCTGGAGTAGGGGTAAGGCTGGGTTCTGGGGGCACTCGAGGAGGAGATAGGAGGTCCCCACACCTGGCTCCAGGCAGCTGGACCCCAGCTGGGGCTGGACTGTACAGGTCCTGCTGATGTGTTCTTGCTGATAAGTCTGGTCAATAAAGCTGCTGTGCCATCTGTCACCTTGGCCTCCAGACCGAGAGGAAGTGGAGGGTCCTCTGGGTGGGAAGTTCAAGCCGCAGCACAGCTGGGACCCCGGGAAGACATCTGACTCCCTCTGTTTCACCTCTCTACTAACTACTGCTTCCTCCCAGCTCCCCACAGCCATGAGGGAGCTCCCTTCTAGGGCACCCCGAGTCCAGCCCTGTGGCCTGCTGACCCGCCTTTTACTTTTGGGCTGATACAGGGACTTGCTGGCAATGGAAAGCCAGTTTTTTTCCCCCCAGTGTCCCAGCCAGGCCCCAATGTCAGCTTCTCATCTGGGAAGGTGACTGGGGCCCCAGGTTCCATGGACTTGAGATCAGCCTCCATAGCATCTGGCCTGCTGCAGCTTGGAGTGAGGGCTGCTGTGTGAGCTAAGTAGTGGCAGGTAATTAGCTGAGGGGCTCAGGCACAACGGGTGGTGGAAGGGATACAGAATGTACCGCCTGGGCTGCCCACTGGTGCTGCCCAGTCACGGGGAGCAGCGCCAGGTGAGACGATCCTCACGCTGGGCAGTCTGAGAGACCCGTGTCTGCAAGGAAGGAGGTGGCCCTCATTTCCATTTCACCACGGCAGCCCATCTCTTACCAGCCTAGCACACTGCTGGGGTGCTCAGAGAATGTCTGACCAGTGTCCCCAGCCTCGGGTGACATTTAAAAAGTCCCAGTTATCTGAGTTTGTTCTATAATAGTGTGGCCCTGACGAGGGGGCAGGCTCTGAGGAGGAACCCCCAGAGTGGCCAGCTCTTCCTCCTAGTCCGTGGTGGTCACACAGGGTTCCCAGGGGTTGGAGAAGTCTGCAGAGGGTACACTGCTCAGGCTTGGGCACAGAGCCCAGCTCAGAACTGCTTGTCCGGGACATTTTGATGACACTCCTTGGAGGTGTGTCCCATGCAGGCGTCGTTTCTGGACTTTTTTTTCTCCTGGGCTGGGTACGTATATAGCATGGCCCTTGGGTAACTTTGGTAGAAGGACACTCCTTGTGTTTTGACCTATGAGATATTTTGGGGTCCTGATGTCTGATATCCCTCATGTCCTAGACTCATCCCACTCTTCTGGACTGGGTCTAGATAGAACTGGGGCTCCAGACCCAGCCTCCACGTCTCTACCAAGATTCCTCAGCTCTACCCAAGTCCAATCCCTTCTGCCTCTGGGGTGCAGCCAAGGGAGGTCTCAGAGCTGGGGCCCAAGCTCCTCCAACTCCAACCATGCCCTGAGGACATTAGTGAGGTGCTTGGAGAAGATATTCCTTTCCTGGGCTAGAGATTGCTCCTGAGCAGGTAGCCCAAGGCCCAATATCATTGTGTGTCACCCATTAGTTCCCAGGTGCTGTTTCAGATAGACCCTTATAAACACCTTCATCACAACCCAAAGAGGTGGACCTAGCAACAGGTCACCTGCTGCCTTCTGGGTCTTGCGTTCAGGCATCCAGACTCTGTGTCTTCTCATCTGTGTTCTGTTAGGAAATGACAGCACAGACCATGGCCGTTCCCTGGCCAGCCAGGCCCCGAGCTGGAATTGATTAGATCTCCTGAGGGGGAGGAGAATGCATAAGCCCAGAACAACACTGACCCCCCCACCCCCCCCATACACACACGCACACCCCCATACGCCTTAGGTTCCATTCTGTTTGATGAGGAGACATCAGTGCAGCCGTGAAGAACCTTCTAGGCCATAATGACAGGAGTCTAGAAGCCCAGAAGGGCAGTGATCGGACTGGCTCCATTGAGCTTGTCTTCACAGCAGGCAGACTCCAAATGACACCCTAGGATAACAAATGCAGTCTTCCACTAAGCATTTAATAGCAAGGAAATAAAGGACTGGGGGACGTTCTAACTGCACCTCAGCTTCCAGGCATCCACCTATGCCCATGTGCCCAGAGCTGCCCTACTTCCTCCCTGGCAATATTTTCTGAAATCAGCTGCCTGGGCCTTCTAGGCTGAATCTGATCCCACCACCCATCTTTGTGACTGGCCCTCAAGCCCAGGGGTTACTGCTGTGTGACCTTGGGGGAGATAGATACCTGCTCTGGGCTCCTAGCAGCATATGAGTGAGGAGTGCCCCTAAAGGACTGCCATATGTGATGGTGGGACCCACACATGGGCCACCCCTCTTCCCTCTCCCCTGCTGCATCTCCTCCGCCTTGCCCCATCGTGGCTGCCAGGCATGGTCCATGAGTATGAGCTCACCTTGGATTCTCAAGGCCAGGGATGCTGGGTGTACTCCTCAGCTTGTGTGTGTGGGGGGTATTCCTTTGAAGCTACTTAGATATCTGGAAGGGACATCCTGAAGGTGAGTGGCTCTATCTCTAGCTTGGTGACCCTGGGGTGATGTGACACCTGAAGGGCCACTGTCTTGTGCCACTGAGGCCCAGGCTGCTCTAACATATTCAGTGGGGCCCAGATGTAGGTCTCTATATCCCTGTGGTTGACCTTTGGAGCAGATCCAAATGTCTAGCACCCTGGAGTGTGCTCCAGTGCCAGAGACCCCGAGTGCCATATTTTTTAAATGACTTGAACCTTATTCCAAATGCATTGGAGGTGAGGGTCTTCCACATAAGAATTCCTCTGGGATGGGCCCCTGGGGGTGTGGTCCAGCTCGTCTGCTCCCCACCCCTATGCTGAGCAGCAGTCCATCTCTTCTGTACCTAGTGTACCACTCATACAAGACTGGGGACAGTCCCAGACCTGCAGAAGGGACAAGTTTGGGGGTGCTGAAGGGGTGTGCACAGAAAGGCCGTGTAGCTGGTGAGGTGTCTGCCTCTCTTTCTCTCCCTTCTGAGTCCCCACTTCCCCAAAGCTGGATTTTGACCCTCGCTTTTCCTTGCACCAACACCACATAAAGACTGTGTGTGGACAGATCCCTGGAAGTCTGCAGGCCCAGCCAAATATGGTGAAGTACCAGGCCAAAGAGAGGACCACCCCAAACAAAAAGTGGATGACATTTTGTCCTGAATTTGTCCTCTGACCTCCACTTATATTCATGCATACCCTCTTACACATGTACTCCATGCATGAATGGGTGTGAACACACGCGTGCGCACGCGCGCGCGCTGCGCGCGCGCGCGCGCGCGCACACACACACACACACACACACACACACACGAGGCAGAGAGAGAGAAAGACACCACACATACACATAGAGGCAGAGAGAGAAAGACACCACAGGCACATACAGAGGCAGAGAGAAAGACACACACACTCACAGATCTCAATTTCCTCCTTTTCCTGCTGTCTCCGGATTGTCTAGAAGCTGAGCACTCCCTGCCCACCCCACTGTCCTTTGGAGCCACCCCGTCCGTGCCAGGGGAAGGGCAGAACTGTGGCCAGACTTCAGAGCTTTCCTTCTCTTGGCCATAGCCTCTGTACCAATGAGAGATTTATTTGTACAGCTAAGAATTCCTTCTCTCCCACCCTTTGAAAGAGGAGAGTTTCTGTTTGAATTAGCAACTTCCCTTCCCATCCTTCCTTGGCAAAGGGTCACAGACACTTCTATTACCTCTAAACCCACCGGGGATATGAAGGGGCTTCTTGTGAAACCAGGACCCTATGGGCTTTGGAATCAGTAGCCTGCTGTCCAGGTTTAGGCCACTGAACAGCAATTGATCTGCAGGAGGTGGTCCTTGGGAGAATTCGTGGAGAAAAATCCATTCCTAATCATGCTATTTATAATTCCTTCATACGCTTCGAGAAGGTTTCAGGACAATGAGAAACTAAGCCCATCCTCCCCAGGGAGGTCCTTGCTTTATAAGCTCACTTGTCATTGTGTTTTGAAGTCCATGGATTTGGACAGCACGTAACTGACCGAGAGACCTTGGCAGCCTTGCAGAGGAGTGCAAATCTCCTCTGCTTCATCCGCCAGGCAGTCATTGGGCCTGGAGTGCCATTGGAACTGGAGACTGTGCCTCCCTTTCCTCTTGAGAGAAACCTGGCCTTTCCCATAGTCCTCGTGATGAGCTGGAGCCACACTCTGGGTCCTTGTTCCCCGCTGCCCTGGCACTGTAATTTCTCTAAGGCAAACCACAACCCCCTTCCCTCATAGGTGTTACACCACTCCCTGCCAAATAACCTCCGTCTTTTCCCGTTATTTATGTGACATGAGTTGTGGTTCATTTGGAGCCTCTGGGGTCTCCTGAGGTGAGGACCCTCAGCTTTTGCTTACTTGCAATCTACCTTTGAGGTATCTCCCTGTACACTCTATTTGTTAAAGTCCCTACACTCTGTTATCTATTGCGCATCATAGCTGAGTGTTGGTGGTATAACGGTGAACATAGCTGTTTTTCACTGTGCCTCATTTTACCACATATTACCAGCTCAAGTCACAATCCTACCAGTGTGTTCATCACAAATAAATCCACTTGTGGGGTCACAGAGGGTACTCTCCCTCCCTGCCCTTCCTACCACAGTAATCAGTGTAGGGTTCAAGGTGCCTGAAGTGATGCATGGGGCATCGGGTTCAGTCGCAAGCCGGCCAGAGTCCAGCATGAGCTCATCTGGTGGACCGCAAAGCAGGCGCCTGGCTTCCACGACCTCAGCTGCTGCCTGGATGCGGGAGCCTCTGGCAGCTGCTCACAGCTGATTCATTGGGCCGGCAGGCAGCTCAAATCCCCAAGCCGCTGTCACATGGAGCTGTAAAGGCGCATCTCTCCTTGTCTATACTTTGCATAAATAAGGAAAAAATTCTCCCATCTTCCCGTGGGACCAAACAGTCGCAGGGTTTGCTGTCAGGGGTTTGTGAGACGATGTCTGAAGGTGGCTCCTTGGGGAGCATTTTCCTTTCACCTGAGGAGCCCTGGCCATGGTAAAGAGATCTGAGATGCCATGCTAGCCCATGGTGAGAACCTGTAAATCTGATGTAAAAAGGGCCAGAATACTACATCAGGATTTGGTGGCCCCTTTGTTAAGGTTAGTGGGGAGGGTCTCACTGTTGGGGCAGGAGAAGGCAATTTCTTCCTTAAAGGGCAGTATCAGGCTCTTCCTCCG